GACGACGGAATATAGTGGGGTCCAAACTTGCTTCGAAGTTCTGAGAGCGCAAGTATTCAGCCAACTCGCAATACCAAGATAATGGACCAGACCGCAATCCGTTCATCGCTTTACGCAATTTGACGAAAACTCGTTCCCCAGTCACCTGGGTGCTCACATTATTCGGCAACTCTACGAATTCTGCCCTCGCTACGGGAGCATGCATGAACGCTACCGAGACATCGCAGGACAACACACTGCCACGTCGGCAGAGCATTGACAGAAGCAATCTCAGACCCTCCAATGAAGTAGTAGGAGAGTAGATTCCCTCACTCAAGGTGGTGCCTCCCATAGAGGCATAATCCCGCACGACTAGCCTAGATCTATACAGTCCCTTCTTCTTGACCGTGTTGACCCACCTGCTAGTCAAAACTCGCCTGCCGTTTTCCTTAGCAAGACGGCGAGCTTCGCGCTCAGGGATCACTTCCCCAACCTTGAAGGATTCCAACTCTTCCAACTCAAGCTTCATTGATGCGTAAAGAAGATCGGGTTCTAGCTTCTCTCCCGAAGTCTCAGACACAGCGTTCTGAGGAACAGCACACCTTATCTTCGTACCCCCAAACTTCAAATCAAACGACTTTGCAACTGCAGTGGAGGTGGCTCGCAGGTCAGGCCCTCGAAACAGGGACTCAAGATAGTGATTCGTGAGCCAGTCTATTTCCATATCCCCCTCATCGTTCACAACCTCCTGGTTCTCAGGCGCTTCCGAAGGAGAATAGTCAGCAAGCTCATCTTCAATCATCTCTTCATCACCATCTTCATCCATTCCCACACCAGCCCCCTCATCAGGAGCATCATCACCAGGAGCCTCCAACGGATCAAACAGGATGGGCCTCTCGGGGTCCTCAGTGTCCTGCAGAAGAGGCTTAGCTAAAGATAGCTCTTCCAGGGTCTTGGCATCGTAGATGTCACCTCCCTGAATCATCCTGGCGACGGGGAATATATCTATTTCCTTGCTTCCGATAGGGACGGCAAAGATGCCACCACCTTTGGCGTGCAGATAAACCGCTTTCACGGTCCGGGCGCCCCTGAACTTATCATGGTGCGCCTTGGACTTACTGACCTGGGCTTGAACCAGACACCCGGACGGTCTCGTCCGAGTCCGGTTCACAATCTCCTCATGCAGTCGATCTATGCTAGTGCTCGAATCCCCGACGCTGGTACACCAGAGGTTATAGCACCTAGCAACATAGAAAACACAGGCTTGTCAAAGCAAACCTCCCAAAGGTAACTGATACTTCCCAAGCTCAACGGCTTCCGTTTCCTGCTTCACCTTAGCAACCTCTTTCTCCAGGTCCAACCAAACAGACCAGAAACCCTGCTTCATAGTTTCAACCTGCCGCTCAATCGATCCCTTCGACTGGGGCCTGTAGCCCGGAACCACGTCAATCAAAGTTGCGCTGGCAGGGCTGCTATCGCACTTGGTGAGTTTCTCGGCAAGGGCTCCAAGAGCCGCTTCTTGGTCCATCCGAAATGTAACCGCTTTACCGACTAATCCCATTTCGCGAATCACACGGTTGATGTTGTGGAGCAGGTCAGGGTCATCGAGGTGCATCGCAGGAAGAGAGACAGTATACTTAGAACCGAGGTGCATCATCAAGAGTACCCTCAGTTTTCCGAAATAGAAGAAATCAAGACCTATGGTCTGGTTCTCTCTCTGCAGCTTCCTCCTCAAGCGACGCGCCGGAACGCGCCCTTTCGAAGAACAACACGCTTCACAATTGGAATCAAACGGAAAATGCCCTCGGCTCCGATGATTATACAACGAAACAGAAGAAAGAGGAACCCTCAGGTCCTCCTCGTCCTCAGGTCCAACCGGGTCGTCAGGTGGTGTTGGACCCTTTTCTTTTCGAGGTTTCTTGGAAGAGCCAGGGGCAGATCCTAACGGTTCAGGGTCCTCATCAAAGATTCCTTCAGGATCTAAAGGATTACGACTAGAAGCTTCAGGTTTTAAGGAAGTTTCGGGAGCAGGTCTCGAGGAAGGTTCGGGGTCTAAGTCAAACGGATCAGAACGTGTACCGGTCCCCGGCGACGGTAAACCTCTAAAGCGCACGGCTCGGAGCACGTGCTCAACTTGTTCCGTCTTCTTTGCCGGGGCCGGTTCATCATCTCCGGCACAAAGCATGCCAAACATGCCGCAACATGCGCACTTTAAGTTTTCACAGACATGCTCACAAACGCGCTGCCCAAAACCTTTCACCTCACGACTCAAAAGAAGTTTCCTACTCACCTCGACGCGGGCCCAACGGTCCCGCAGCTTAATCCTAAAGTGGCTTCCGCGTTTTCTAGAAAACACCCTGTAGAACTTCCGTGGCCTCTTTCGCGAAACCACTTTCCTGAAACACCGAAGTAACCCTGAAGAAACCCACAAAGCTATACCACAGAAGAGGCTGTAGACCGTCAGGAGGAGCACGATGATACCAAGATCCAGTCCTGGCGTGAAACCATTCCTGAAAGCGGCCGTGGTTTTAAAGGTGCGGGTTTCGAAGGTAGGAGGGTTCGAGGTACGTTGGGTTGGTTTTCGAGCAAACGCAACATGCCACAGACCATGCCAACGCTCATGCCACACAACATGCTGCTGCAAAACGTGCTGCTGCAAAGTGTGCTGCTGCAAAGCGTGCTGTTGCAAAACGTGCTCGCAAGAAAAAACTTTTGAACTCCAACCCCTCGGTGCGGATCGCCGCAGAGTCACTCCAAAAGCCTCTGGCCCTCTTCGAGGGCTTGCCTCACCTGCGCAGTCACTTGACTGTGGCTTAAAGATGGCGGGCTGAGCACAAATGCCCGTTCCTGGGCAGTCTGTCCTGTGGCAGAAGCACTCATAGCTCTCGGAGGCGTTGGTAGCCGAGATCTTTCTGGAACAGACGGCGGGATGTTCACGCCGTGCCTTTGATAGTCCTCCCTTTGCATTCCCTCCGGAAGCGTAGGTGCTGAGACCCTCGGGAGATTGAATGCAGTAGCCACCAGTTCTCCAGGTGGCATCGAGGAAGCCGGGCTCGGCGGTGCCGGCTGTCCCGCCTCGGCGGGCTGATTTCCCTCGTCGGCCCCAACGAAGCCATCCAATTGGGACAGTCTCTGGCCTGTAAGTTCTTCCAACGTGCGCCATATGGCGATGTCTGGGCCCTGTTCAGCGCCGTAACTTCTCCTTCTCCAAGGAGCAAGGACTCCTCGTCGGAGCTCGAAGAGGTGGTGTCCACAACACCGCCCTGAGGGATCGCTGCCGATTTGGCCCTTGCCGCTCGCATGGATTCCCGGGCCTCGTGGAGGCGCTCCTCCTCTCGTTTTCGCCTGTAATATCGGGCAACACGGAGATATATGCCCGAATCTAGGTATGCCCAAGCCGTTTTGAGCTCGAGCGAGGTGACAGACTGGGGCACCTTTACGAGCAGACTCGCCCGCGCTCCCACCAGTCCCCTGTATCCAGCAGGCGTAGCCAAATAGGTTTGCAGTACAGCTCGACAATGGAAGATATAGTGTAACATAGACACAGGGTTGGGTTCCTGGAACCTTCGTTTCCACGCTGCCCGAGCGGCCCGTGGAGCCTCCAGAAGTTCGGTAACCCTGACAGCGAACTCCACGTCTTCCATATGAAGCCCGTACTCTGCTAGGCTCTTGCCCTCTAGGCAACGTCCCAACCAAACCTCCCATTCCTGCTGCCCAATGATACATTGGGCTTCCGATTCCACCATCTTCGGCCTCGAAACCCTCACTGGCTCCTCTGGATAGGCCGCTGTCACAGGAATCACTGGAGTGGCTGGTAGCCAAGCAGCTGGATGCTCTAGGTCGGGCAGGCCTATCGGACCGAGCATTGTCGCCGTCGGAGAGCAAAGTGCTCTCAAGGCGTGGCCTGGAGCACAGAACGCCAGGGATGGGGCATCGTAGGCATCGTTCATGTTCGCTGGAATCCCCGCCAAATGCGAGAGCAACGGAATAGGCTCGGTAGAGTCGACCGAGACCTTTGCAAGCAATATCCGCCTTCGGCGGACTCCTCGCAGCATTTTCCTCCACAGGGCTTCCAGCAGCATCTGCCTGCGAAGGCCCATCTGCAGAGCTCTCCGCTGCTTCCGTCACCACTGGCGACGGGTAGACCGCCACCGGCGACGATGGTCCCCCACCCGGCGGCTCGACCCCCGGTAGTTCGAAAGAGGGGCTCTCCAAAGCCGGTGGAGTAGGCGGTTTCCCAGGAGAACCTGGGCTGCTCAAAGCAACACTCGGGGTAAACTCGTCCCCGCTGGCACCGTCCATTATGATCTCCAAAGGGAGACCTCTCTTCACCAAAGAGAAAAACGGCTGCAGATGGATCGTGCGCAGTGCTAGCGCAAACATTCGGCAACATCAGCGTTTGCAAAATCAAGCCAAGCATGCCAACATGCCACTGTTTCCTAGGTTCACGCAGCTGTTTCCTAGACTCACGCAGTTGCTTCCTAGGCTCACGCAGTTGCTTCCTAGGCTCACGCCGCTGCTTCCTAAGCTCAGGCAACTGCTTTCGCAACCCTTTTTCTACCCTCTTGTGGCTGAAGGGTCTGTCTTCTTCACTTGCCATCAAGCAAGACCCAACCAGCTGCAATGCTACCATCAGCATCGCTCTCAGCATACTGCGAATCTGGAACTTCGTCGTGGGCACGTAGCCATTGCACCCCCGACCAGTGTTGGATACAGGCCCAGCAATAATGATGGGTGTGCGCAGGTTTGCGTCTGACGCAGACCTGCTTTCCGCACACTTCGCACCGGCACTCGCATTCTGGCTTTGATCCGCCCAGATAGTTTCCCATAGCAGGAAAAAGAGGCGTATGCCGAGTCTTTCTGCAAAAACCGTAAGGGTAAAAGCCCGCTTGAGCACAGCAGCCAAAACCCACTGCGCTTGCACAACCATGTCCATCATGAAAACATGCCATCGCAAAACCATGGAAAAACATGCCAAAAACATGCAAAGCACCATGCCACCATGCGACTGTTTCCTAAAATCAAGCGCCGTGCACTGCCTAAAGTCACTAGACTCTTCTAGAAAATAACAAAGCTCAATCTCCCGTGGTGCAGGCGCTCTTGGAGCAACTTCCGCCCGAAGACCCCGAAGCAGAAACCCAAAAGGAGTGGCAGCCAAAGCGTGGCGGCCAGACTCGTCTTCTTCCGAAGTCTTTCTTCCTTTCTTCAGGATTCCTTCTCCAGGCTTCTGGGGTCCTGCGGTGGACTCCTTGCTCGATCCTAGCAGGTCGCGGTCCTTCAAGGCATCTATCTCCATATCCTCGATCCCTTTCGGGGGGCGTCTGGAAGAATTCTCTTTCCCCCGGCCCTTGGACCTCCCGCTCAGAGCCCACCAGGCGCGCGAAGCGCCCATCAGCTTGATGCTCTTCTTTCCGTTTCCTTTGTACAATCGTGATCCCGATTTGGCTAGATAGGTTTTCCAGTCCCGTTCCGACCCGGTCCAAGGCGAAACAACGTTGAACCCAACATCCGCCACCAAGACCTCTTCCAACCTCAGGAAAACATCTCCAAAATAAACCTCAAGGTCGACAACCCCCGAAACGACGATCGCACCACCCGAGGCATTGAACAGATTGGCCGTTCGGTCGTACTTCTTGACAACACGAAATCCTGAGAGATGTTTGTCTGAAACAATGTGGCAGGTGGCTCCACTATCGACTAGCCACAGGTCCCCAGGAGTAGTCTCGAGGGCCTTGCAGACATGAGCTACGTCGCCGTGCTTCAACACACGGGATCCTAAGGAGCCCATAGACTCAGAACCTCGACTCTCAGACCCAGGCGACCCTTCGGGTCCTGCACCCGGCTTCGGAACTACAAGGGCGGACGGCTCAGGTCTCTCAGGCTGGCTCAGAACACGGCGTTCAGAAGAAGAGGGCTCCGAAGAACCACGCCCAGGACAGGAAAACCTCATCGCCATCACTGTGGCGCTTCCTCCCGACTCGGCCTCGGACTCCGGCTCTGTCAAGGAGCGTCCCTTTCCAGGCTGTCCCTTCTTCTTTTTCTTCTGCTTCTTGCCTTTGTCCTTTCCTTTGTCGCCTTTTCCTCTGTCGCCCTTGCCCTTCTCGGAACCACGGGGCGTACCAGATCCCTTGGGAGTCTGGTCGCCTTTGCTTTTCGGCTTTCCTTTGTCTCCTTTCCCTTTGCCCTTCGGAGCACCACCGCGTTCGCGTTCGTCCTTTTGGCGCTGCCAACACTTGTCGGCTGTGTGTCCCTTCTTCCCGCAGTAGTCGCAAAGCTTCTCCTGCAAGGCTCGGCCCGAAGACCCAGGGGCCTCACACAGTCGCAGCTGCTCCTCGTAGTAAGTCAGCGTCCTTCGAAGAGCTTCCCAGTTCGAGCTGGACCCGTGCAGTACCACGTACTGACGCACTTCTGCACCCAAGCTCTGTAACAGGACAGAGCAGCGGTCAGCCTCAGACAGCTGAAGCTCCGGAAAGTTGCTCAGCTTCGCTTCAGACTTCGAAAACGAATCCTCAAGATGTCGAATCAAGTCGGTGGGCCTCTTCAGATGCCCAACGTGCTGGTACAACTTCAAAGCCTGTTCTCTCACTTCCATCCGCGACACGATGGAGTACTGAGAGGTAATTGTTCGAATCACCTCGTAGCCGCAGGCGCTCTGCCCCTGCCTCTTCGAGCAGGACCTCAAGAGCTCGCTTCCCCGCTCCCACTTGGCGAGGGACTGCGTCAAGTAGTAGAACAGCTTGGAGCTACGCGCTGCAGTCTCGGGATTCAAGTCAGCTTGCACAATCTCCTTCTTCACAGGATGCAGAGCTGCAGTTCCCGAACAAACGCTTCTTCCTGCAGGGCAAGCCAGGAACTCAGCGTCTCCATAAAGGAGTGCCAAGTTTCTACCTCCTTCATGCGCCCTTTCCCCATGCCTTGATGGTCTGTCACCGGAAGGTTCGGCAGATACTTCTCTGCACGGCCTCCAGCACTAGAGTACCCAGAGGGAGACGGAACTGCCGGAGAAACTGCCGAACTCGCGGCAGAACTGCTCGCGGGAGCAGCGGCTGGAAGGGGTCCCGAGTCTTAGCTGCCTCTGCTGCCTGCTTGGCCGCTTCAGCTGCCTCGTGAACTTTCTCTTCCGCTTTGTTCCTTCTCTCTTCCTCCATCCATTCTCCGGAGCATCGTCGCAACGAGCTGCTGGTTCATTGCCATATCTTTCTCTGCTGACGAAGCAATTCCATCATGAATCCAGGCATCTGCTCAGGCGTAAAACCTGCAGAACCAGAGCTGCTACTCGGAGCAGCAGCCTTCGAACTCTGAACAGGTGGAGCCGACGCCTTTGGACTTTGCACAGGAGGAACCCGCCGCGGTACAGAAGGCTGTGCTTGCGTAGGAGCAGGAGCCGGACCTTGGACAGGAGCAAACGGATTTGCTCCCTGCTGAGCAGCCGCTTCAGGCGCTGCGCAGCTGGTCCTGGACCAAAAAAAAGCTCGAACTCTTCTTCTGCAGTGGTCTCCGGCACAGGAACGTCTGCCTTTTCTAGGAACGCACTCAGCGCTCCGCTGCCATGTGAAAAACGCAGAGCAAGTTTCTTTTCACTCCACGCTTGAGCCAAACACCGAAGTGTTCAGCAAGGTCCTTGTGGAGTCTCGCGCAGCAAATTCCGTCTCAACTTTGCTAAACAAAGGAGGAATGACATGCAACTGTCACACTTCTCAAGACTGTACTCACTCAAACAGCAGTGCACAGCCACTCTGTCCCTTGGCGGAAAACAGCAACAGTGCAGTAGAGCAACACGCACTTCTTCAATGCCCAAAAGCATCTCGTGCTGTAAGCGCTCATCATAGTCTTCAAGACAAGCTAAAACATGTGTTCGCCATGCAAATGCCTGTTCAAGCTTCCAAAACAAAAACAGTTCAAGGCAAAAAGGATGAAACCCTTTCTCATGCGCAAAACAAGCATGTCGGTATTCAAGGGCACACCTAAAAGGGCAAACTTTTCACAGCTCGCCAAGAGTCGATTGTGTTTGTTCCTTTCCAGTGTGTGCCAACAACGGCGGTTGCATGAGCGTTGCCTACCTGCAGCACTGGTCTTTCGCACTCCTTATCAGAAAGCCGCCAACGCATGCAGTGGACCTCAGACTTTTAGTTTTGGTGTGCACGTGGAACAAAGCAAGACTAGAAGGGCAACCAGAGCCTGGATCCATTTGTTTTGGACAGCTCTGTTGCTCCTTAACCGATCGCTGAGACTCCCTTGGATTGTGGTTTCCCTTGTTCATGGGGACCGTGACACTAGTCGACAAGGCCCAGTCAAGCCAAAAAAAAAGCGAAGCCCAGAGCTGCGTCGCACGGGGCAGATGGCTGCAGTGCGAGGAAGCTTGGAATGCTTCGTGTTTTTCCAGAGCTATCCTGGCTCGCCGGACAGACTTGACCAAGGTCTGAAGGGAACAGGTAAGAGAGGGGAGGAGATGGATCCGTGGAGTGCTTTTTTGCAACAGCAGCAGCTTCGACAGCAGCAGCAGAAGCGAGACCTCAGCAGCCTTTGCTTGGAGTGCAGAGACAAGCGTCAGGTGTGGTCGGGGCACAGGAGTGATATCTCGAGTCTTGGAGAGTCGTTTAGAAATCACGTGCCGGTGCCACCGCAGCCTGGAGTTGTGAACCAAGTTCCTTGCAACGCGTGCAGTGCTCAAGTTGGTGTTCGCAGCAGGGTGCAGTTCAAAGTGATCTCTTGAGAGAGATGCAAGTGCTTATTTCGCGTATGTCGCCTCAGCAGGCGCAAGCAGCGCGCGCAGACGGTGCTGAATGAACAGCTGATGTATCAAGCTAGGGGTGTTCCCGAGCGGTTTGGTGAAAGGCCGTGCATCCTGATGCTCGTCAGGGTCAGTTTGCTCCAGGAGCACCTACAGGGGTGTTGCCTTGTCAGGCTTAGTTGCCACAAGTGAACCAGCAGAGCTTTGGAGCCGAGACGTCTTTTCTAGGGCGGACAAGTGGCCAGGTCAACCGCCAAGTGCCGGTGTTGAGAAGTGGACTTCTAGGGAAGTAGAGATTGCTGGGTTTTCCGACTACATTGTTGCCCTTCAGTCGTGGGCAGCATTGGCCAGCATGACGGTTTGCTGAAGAGATCTCTTGTGCTGTGAAGTGGCCTGAAGTCATTTGGCAGCAGACGTCTGAAGATCAGAAGGTGAGATCAGTGAGGCTGTTCGGGATCTTGAGAACTGCTTTTGCGAACTCTGTCGCCGATCCCGTGAGATTTCTAGGAAACACTTCATGTGGTTTTGAGTTGTTGCGTCAGCTTGGTCAACAGTTTTCTTTGAGATCAAGAGCAGAAGCGTTGTCCATGAGATCTGAGCTGTTGGGACGCATCTTCTCAATGAAGAGCAGTGAAATGAGTGCAGCAACGGTTGTAGGAGATGTGATCCGGAAGCTTGACATTGAAGTAGCACGTTTTTCGAAGCTTTTAGGAACACTGCCATCGCATTTGGACAGGCAAGGCCTGAGCATTGGTGACGGGGACATGCTTGTGATCCTTTTGCGTAGTCTGCCTGAAGAAGCGAAGAAGCATGTGTTGCATCACTCGGCTGCAGATACCTATCAGACCGCACGTCTTTCTGCTTTGAAGTATGAACAGCAACAGCGATTGTTTTTAGATTTGAACTTTGGACATGGCAAGAAGCATGTGAGTGAACTCTTTGATTTGACCAAAAGTGATGGTGATGATCAGTATGATAAGGCCTGGTATGATAACGGTGATGAGTGGTACCAGTGGGATGGCTCATGGGGCATCGCTGCTGTGAATGAGGAACGCTGTGATCGGTGTGGTAGAAAGCATAAGACCAGCTCTTGCACGACGGACTTGAGTAAGGTCAAGTGTTTTGCCTGTGACGAGTATGGGCATGTGAGTCACAACTGTCCTAGAGGTCAGTCCAAAGGTAAACGAAAGGCAGGAAAAGGGAAGGAGAAAGGAAAACTTGTGAAAGGAAAAGGAAAGGACAAAGGAAAGGACAAAGGAAAGGACAAAGGAAAGGCTAAAGGTAAGCCGAAAGGATCCAAAGGTAAGAAAGGGAAGATGTATGAGCTGGTAGAGGAGACGAAGGAAGGAAATGAAGTAGGTCATGACGACGCGACTTGGGCCGACGACTCCTGGCATGAAGGCTGGGATCAGTGGGATAGCAGTGCAGGTCATGAGGCCTGGGGTAGCGCGGTCGCTGACACTTCGAAGGAAGCCAAGCCAGTTGAGAACTTGCAGCTGAGTGCGGTGATCTTTTCGCCGTTGCTTGTAAATGAGATCCTAGAGGACCCACAGGACTGCGAGTGGTGGTTGCTTGATAGTGGGGCTGGAGTCTCTGTGTTGAGTGAGAGTGCTGCTGCGTGGTTTGGGATAGACGTTGGTGAGCTCAGGAGCTCACGTGTGCAGCAGGGATTCTCAGCGGCCAACGGTAGTCCTGTGAAGATGCTTGCTGAACGAACCATTCGAGTTGAGATTTTTCTTGAGTTGCCTGACGGTACGAGTGATTGGCATGAAGCAAGCATGAATGTTTGGATTGGCGACACGAATCGCAACATCATTTCCACGACCATGCTGTGCCACCGTGGTTGGACCTTTTCTCAATCGAGGGAGGGCATCCACCTTGCGTCTGCTTCAGGCGCGTGTGCTAAGGAGATCGTGCTCTTTTGTAATGTGCCCTGGGTGCGTTTGAGACCTGTGGTGCATCCGGAGTCGCCTGAGGGCGAGCTGTGCTTGGCGCCATTGACGCCTCAGGTCCCAGTTGTGCCGGTGTCTCCACTCACCCGTTCGAGTGAAGCGGAGTTGGCCCTGCATCGATTGCAAGGTCATACTCCATATCACCCCGGGTGCAAGCATTGCCAGGTGTCCAGAACGGTCTTTCAGCACAGGCGTCGTAGGGATGGTCGTCTTGAAACTGAGGTGGTTGCTGATTTCTTCTTTCTCTCGAGTACTGGTGAGGAGAGGCGAGAGGTTAGATCAGACAATTTGCGTGTGCTCGTGATGGTGGAACGGATGTCGTCCATGATAGGAGCCATCGTAACGTCCGACAACCTAGTTGCTAGCAGGACCGACATTGTGAGGTGGCTTCGTGAGTTTGGGCTTGAATCGGGCACATGTTCTATCCTCATGTTGACAGACGCAGAAGAAGCCGTGTCTGATTTGGTGGCCGGCGCCTCTGATGAGTTTGTGTTTCAGGTCAGGAAAGCAGGTCCTCAGTGCCACGAGTCGATTGGTGTTGCCGAGCGCGGGGTTAGGAAGATCAAAGAGTCATTGCAAACATTGCGTAGTGACTTGAATCATGAAGGCCTTGATATCTGCTTCAATCACGTCGGTTTCAGTGCTGCTCTTACGTATCTCTGCGGTAGCTTGAACAGGTTCTCGAAGGCTCATGGATCGGATCTTGCACCATGTGACATGCCTTTGCAGAGACCAACCCCCAAGGGCGCCTTCACTCTGTTTGGCGCTACGGTCTTAGCCGAGCTGCCGCAGTCGATAAAAGATCTGGGACCGAACCTACCCCGGTTCACGGAGGCTGCCTTCCTCTACCCGGTGTTAGGGTCCCAGGCCATTCGTGTTGCAGCGCTGATTCGACTTGAGGGCAGGTTGGAACTAAAGGTCTTTAACGCAAAATCTGTGAAGGTGACGGTTCCGCTGACTTGGCGGCTTGAGCTCGTGGAAGGAGTGATTGCTCCCATTGGTGGCGGACCCAGGATCCCTCCTGTTCTTGAGCATCGTGAAGTGCTTGATCCTCCTGTGTCAGTCCGTGGGCCTGCATCGGGGCCGCCTGTTGAGTGGTTGCGGCGTCATGGGTACACGGCTCGATGCCCAGCGTGCTCTAATCTTCAAGCTGGCCGACGGGCAGGTCAGAAGCACGGTCGGGCTTGCCAGCAGAGGTATGCTCACTGGCTTCGGGAGTCAGTTGCTGGTGATGGCGCAGCCGTCGCTGAGGATAGGGCTCGGGCTGTGTCCGCAGATCCTATTGCGGCACCTGACCAATCTGGTCAGGAGATGGCCGTGGATCTTGGTGATCAGGGTGATGGTGCTCTGGAGCATCGGGCCTTGACCGTTCGGTGCAGCCGCAGGTTGTGCCTCAAGGCTTAAGGGTCTCAGCCGGTTCTGCCCTCAAGTGCGCGTGTGAGCTTCAGTGATGTGCCTGTTGATGTAGAAGGTCCTGACGCAGATGGCGTCCGTAGTGATGCCCAGCATGCAGGGTCGCATCGGGCATCGCCTGATTCTGGAGGCCTGGAGCCTGAGGCAAAGAGGTTGCGTGCCGGTGAGCCTTCGCGTCCCTCGTTGCTTAAGCGACCTATGCCAGTTGGAAGTGACAGGAGCGAAGGCTCCACAGGGCTTCCGTTGGGATCTTCAGCTGGGCATGCCAGCTCTGGTGGTGGCTCCGAGTCACGAGGAGTGAAACGCATGTCTGATGTTGAGATTGTTGATCTAGAGACCGAGATTCGTGATTCAGGCCCCAGCGCTCCCCGACTACTCGAGGGAATTATGTGGGCGTCTGACGCTCATGAGCCTGTCATCTTGAATGAAGTTGTAACTCGTCCTGAGGTATTCGATGAAGGGATCAACAGCATCAGGTATGAGTCATCGTCGAGTAATGCCGCTAAGCCGAAGTTTGAGAGTGTTCCACTTGGGGGGACACGGGTGCACTTGTGGTGCCCTGACGGCGGCATTGATGACAGTACGCTTGAAGAGCTTCCGGGAGACTTAGTCTTTGCTGGCATGAAGGAGGAAATCTGCAATTTGGAGAATTGCCGCACAGGCCGCATTATCGGTTCTGATGAGGTTGATGCGCTGAAGCGGAAACATCCGGGAATGCGTGTGATCCAATCCAGGTGGGTCTGCGCTCGTAAGAGTGCTCAGCGAGTTCGCAGCAGGATCGTTGCAAAGGACATTGCCAATGGGTCGGCGCGCAAACAGGGTTTCAGCAGTCCTACTCCGAGTCTTGATTCGCTCATGCTAGCATTGATCATGCTTGCTACGCGTGACATGCGAGGATGCGGGGCGGACATTGGCCATGCGTTCATGAACAGTCCGTTAGAAGCTAAGACACCTGTCATTCTGAAGTTGCCGTTGTCTGTGTCATTGTCTAATGGACTTCCTGCGTTTTTCTTCCTGTATTGCGCTTTGAACGGTCTTAGGGAAGCTTCGTTGGCATGGTTACGGCTTCTAACTGGCCTTATACGGCCACTCGGACTTAACAGCTGTGAGCCCGAGCCGTGCTTATTCACTGGATGGGTGAGCACAAAGGCGCGCGGGACCGCGCATGGTGGGCGAGCCATCGTGATCGCCTATGTGGATGATTTGTTGATCATCACTGATGATGAGCTTGTTGAACAGGCCATCCTTGGTGCCATCTCGAAGCGGTTGCATGTAAAGATCACAGGAAGGATCTTTCCCTCGAGCGCCGGAGGTGGGAGCCTCACCTTCCTTGGTAGGTGCATCCGTAGATGGCCAAATTCTGCTGTGATTGAGTTGAGCATTGACAAGCAGTACTTAGAACCATGTTTCAGCGCATACGGGATCACGAAGGGTTCACAAGCGGTGCCTGATGTTGCCAGTTTGCTTGAGAAATCTGGCCCGGAGCTGACGCCAGAAGCTTATTCGCGCTTTAGGCGAGCATTGGGCCGGCTGTTATGGTATGCTCAGACGAGGCAGGACATTAAGTTGATGCTCACCTTGATTGCCACACAACAGAGCAAGCCTACTTCAGCCACTGAGTCTGCGTTGCGTGCTGTTCTTCGGTTTCTAAAAGGTGATGAGTACATAATCCATCAGATTCCGTCTGCGAGCTTGGATCCTGAGTTCCTGAATTGCACGTCAGATGAGCTGCTGACACGGGTGCATGTGTTCGCAGACGCCTCATATGCTCCATATCGCTTCCTAGAGCGGAGGGGCATCACTGGGGGAGCGATCACCTTTGCAGGGAGTGCTGTGAGATTGGTTGCCAAAACACAGAGTGTTGTCTGTTTGTCTTCCTGCGAGTCGGAGTTGCACGCCTTGCAATTCATGGCCCAAGAATGTGTCGCATTCATGTTCAGCGTGAATCGGGTATTGGCGAGCTTTGGCGAGGCATCTCTTCGGTATGATGTCCAATTGGACACTTGGGAGGATGAGAGCTCCCATGATCATGATCAGGAGTCTGTGGCTAGCTCTTAACGGACTCACAGTCGGCAGTCGACCTCCTTAGAGGGGAAGATCTGCCTCGACGAAGCAGACACATTGAGATCCGCATAGCCTGGCTCCGGGAGCACCTAAGGTCTGGCCGCATTCAGCTCAGGTGGCTGCGTGGTACTGTCAATCCGGCTGATCTTTTGACGAAGTGTTTGCCGACTAGAACACATGTGCTTCATCGTGAGCGCTTGGGGTTCGTTGCCGAGACTGGCCATGGCCTTATTTGCCCTTGCTCAGCTGCATGTACAACACGAGAACAAGACTGGGAGTTCTGTAGCTTTGCTGGAGGTCTGCTGTAGTGCCGACTCCGAGTTGTCGAGGGCATGCCGTGAGCTTCGGATTCCGTATGTTGGCATCACGGCGAATGCCGAAACGACGCGTGTGTTTGAGCAAGCTGCTAGGTACGTCAGTGAGTGGAAGCTGAGTGGGCTTTGGGTTCATGTGCATACTTCCACACCATGTGCACCTGGATCACCGCTGAAGCGGTTCAGTGAATCGAAGACCGAAGCCGACTTTGCGTGGGAGCCTCTTTGCAAGTATGCCTTGAAGTATCTGAAGCTTGGTGATGGTAGATCTTTTGAGCTGCCGTACTTCAACGAACTTTGGAAACGACATGGAACACAGAAGCTGTTGAAGGATGCTTGCTTGAATTTTCAAGTGCAGGTGTACCTGTGTGCGACGGGCATGATATCAAAGTCCGGTCTGCCGATTGGAAAGCAGTTGTGTTTTGCGTGCTCGCATGAAGTCTTCAGTCGAAAACTGCATGAGTTGTTTGGCACATGTCGTTGCAGTGCGCATGCCAGCTTTGCAGACACCGACTACACGTCAACAGGACACTACAACAAAGCATTAGCAAGAGGTATCATCAAAGCCCTGAGTACAGTTTAAAAGGGGGTGCAAGTGCAGCGGATTTTTCGCGCCTTGCGGTATGTTTTGGTACTTTTCACGTTTTCTTTCTTCGAAGACGCCGGTAGTTGCATGACGAAGTCATGTGTGGAGTCGCGGAGGCTTGCACAGCATTTGAAAGCACTGACTTTTCTTGGATCTTTTCTTTAGAGCCCAATCTCCTTTTGCAGCTATGGATGTGACAACTGTACTGGCGTTGGCGATTGCCGTTTCGGTCGTGATGACTGCTATGGCGCTGCTTATCGCTGTTATGGTTGTGGCTATCGGAAAACGTTTTGCACAGGATGATCCTGGAAATACTTCGAAAAGAGAGTCCAGGAATATTCCGAAATCCAGCGCCGGTGAGCCGAGCGCCAATCCTACAAGTGCACCACGATTTGTCAATGATCATGGTGATGTGGTTCTGGAAGGTTCAAAGGAGAACCAATTCTGGAGGACACGTCATCAGCGACCTATTTTTATTTTCGAGAAGGACTCAGTTACGTTCCATGGGAATGCCAATTGCAGTACTCAGCAGGGCGTGGTAGGAAGAGAGCTTCTGCCATGTGGATGCTGCAAGCCCAAGTTGGGCCATGATGAGCTGGCTACCTTTGGTATGGGGGAACGTTACCATAACACTGACTGCAAGCATGTCAGGGCCAAGGGTACGCGACCATCGTTCAGGTCACCATGCGCCACGTGCATGGTGCGACATCTGGAGTGAGAAAGCTGGTAAACGTGTTGGGTCATCTGGCATGGGCCGATGATCAAACATGTTATGCTGATCGCTACGGGATCACCTGATCGAGTGAGTGTCTGAAGCTGTCATCCCGAAAGGGGGTGTGAAAATATGTAACACTACTTGCGGTATGACAGCATAGAATCAGCTTTTGCAGTGCATGAGCAACCTTTTGCATTGCATGATGGCATGACCTTTGGAACGACGTTTTGTTTTCTCCAAACGATGTGCAGTTGTGGTGCATGTGAAGACATGAGCATGTTTTTGCCACGATGCGAGTTTTTAGATGCGAGTTTGTAGCACTGAAGAGTTTCAAGCAGTGGGCCGCGTTGCGACTGCAGTGCTCAAGAGCTGTGAAGCAGCTAAGTGAAGAAGCGAGCTGTGAAGCAGCTAAGTGTGAAGAAGACCAGCGGTAGTGCAAAGACAGTCACGACACCTCTCTTGCTGTGAGTGCGAAAGTGCTGTGCAGGCTGTGCGAGTGCGAGCTGTGCTAGTGTTTGTAAGTTTCTACACTGTGGCAAATCACCTTGATGTAGCAGTCTGGAACACACGGACTTGGACTTTGGCTCCAGAATGAAGAAAGTCACGACTCAAAACAGAGACTGCTTTTGGGTCCTCTGGTTGCCAGTCAAAATTTGTTAAAGGAGCTTGGCTGCATTTCGCGGCCTCTTTTCTCTCTGTCGCAAGTTTGATTCCCTGCACCCACAGCGGCTGAATCTTGTCAGCTGCGCATGTCATTGATTGTAATGACTTCGCGGAGCGTCTGGTGGAGGACCGTTTGGAGGTTGGAACTTGTCCAAGGCAGCTGTGTGCTCGCCCTTAACAGAGCTGCAGCCGGCGGAATGCAACTGATGCACGGTAAAATCTTCAGGGCCATTTTTGGAACCCAAAAAACCGGTCCAAAACTTTCAAAATGGGCCGTCCTTGTTTCCAAGAAAACAGAAACGCTCTGGGTTTTTCCCGATCTTCGCTCGACAAAGAATGCGGCGCAGGTGCGTGCGGCGGAGAGCTGCAAGGTGATAGAGCACAGCCCAGTGGCATTGAGTAGCGGAATGGGTCCCATGGCTTTTTCTTCCTGGCAAGTCTCCGCGTCCCGTGTGCAGCCTTGCTGGATTCGAACCTGGGTTCTCAACCCAGATTCGAACTTGGGCTTGAACAACTTCAAACCTGGGTTATCCAGGTTCCGGAACCAGGTTCAACCCAGGTTTCCGAACCTGCCCGAAAAGAAAGACACATTTTCAAAGCGGTTTCAGACGTGGAGAGTTTAATTCACGAAAGCGGAAAGAGATGAGGCACGTACTCTCCATGAGCTTTCAAAGAGCAGACGCTGCTGAACGATGTTTGTGCAGTCTTTGTATCTCTGAATTCTCATGTTTCTTCTTTTCGTTAACCGTTTGCATTTGTGGCGTCTATTGACGTTCTTTTGCGGAGACTGCAAGCTGCTTCTTTTTTTTCGCTTTTAACGCCCTTCAGCGATTTCCTGTAGCATCGTTCACGTTTCTTTTTATTATTTTTTCGCTGTGTACGGTTTTGGTTTCAGGTTTTCTCTTCGAGAGAGGCAGATACCCATGATGGGGAGCTTGAAGGAATAAAACAGAATCGAAGACATGAAAAATGGAGGGACCTAACCCCCGCTTTTTGAAATTTGCAAACTCTCCGCGTCTTTGACGCCGCCTCAACCGTTGGTGGCCGCCACGCGTCCAATGCTGGACAGCAACCGGTGCCAGAGGCGCTATAATACGCTATAATCGTTGCAGGCAGCAGACCTCAGTAAGTTAGCGCGCAGAGCTTACAAGGCCAAGATTAAATTCCACTCCATGATGGCCTCCAAGTCTTCCGCTTAGTGAGCGGGCAAACTTGAGTCGCGCACCAGTAGCCGCTAACTTGGACATAAAGGTGAGGATTCCACTTGGGCCCGTTGTCTCCACTGGAGCTGCGTCAGATTCATCCTAGGTTCTTCATTGGGTTCAATCTCGGTGGGAACCTGGGCACCTTGGAACCTTGGTTCGAACCTGGGTTGGATCCTGGGATGAAACGTGGTTTCGAACCTGGACGACACCTGAATATTAGTAGGTCAGTTTTTCAAATCCAAGTGTGAGTTGAGCCTGGTTTTACAGTTGGATTTGAGCTTATTTTTGAAAAATCACTTTGGATGATTTCGTGTGGTCTCTCGTGAAGAATCGCAGCCGGGTGATCATGTTGAAAAAAAAACCATGTCGCTTTCCATTCTTTTTGAGGTTCCAGCAGGCCATCATCTTGCTCAATGTTTCTTGGTTTCGTCTGAACTGTGCTGTGCTTGCACCTGAAGCTGTGTGAAACTGTGCAAAATAGCTTGGAAGTGGAACAACAGCTTGTATTTTTGGCCAGTTGCAGTAAGTTTAGCTTCAATTTGCGCATGTTGCATGTTTGAGATGTTTGCAGCATTTTGTGTCAGGATTTTGTGCCAATTTTGTCTGCTCGTCTTCGTCATGCTCGCATTGTTGCGTCGGAAAATTCTGCGATGACTGCGCGGTGGAGTGGGAGGACATGTGACCATGGGTGCACACGCGTGATCGTGGTGTTCGCGACTTCCCGCAGACCAAATCAAAGTCCAGGTTGCTGAAAAGGCGTTTGCTTGGAGCTCGTGCTGAGGATGTGGAAGCTGTTGCTCCTGTTGTGGCAGCAGGAAGTGGGGCAAGGCTCTCCTTCACATCCTGTTCTTCCTGTCCAGAAGCAGCATTTGAAAGCCAAGCAGCGGGAAGACAAAGTGCCGTACACACGTGATCGCAGCCCCCACCAAAAACGGAGACGGCAAGCCACCCTGTCCAGATCGTCTTTGAAAGAGCGATTTTCCTTGGATGGAATCCTTACATCAACTCCCATTGAGATTGCCGAAATTGCGATCGATGTGGGCATCTTGAAGAACAAAGCCAAGTGGACAGACTGCTTGGAAACCTGAGCAGAGATAGCACTACTGCAATTGGAGATGTCGAAAGTGCCGCAAGACTTTGAGTGTTTGTGCACGACACTGACTTGTTTTCCATCAAAGTGGCCTTGCGCAGTCTGCTTGGAAGCTTGTGGATATTTTGTGCTCCATTGTCTTTGTCACCAGACAAATCAGGCCTTCTGCTTGGCATTGACCATCGCTCTACAAGAACACTCTTCGACAACTTCCGAAACTTTCTCACTCCGATCATGGACCGACTCAACAATACCTTACATCTTGGAGGATTAGGTTGTGATGTGGAGCTCGACGAGATCAGCTTTCGCAGCAAAACAGTCGGCGAGAGAGTTGTTTGGATCCGCTATTTGGCAATTGCCAGACGTGGAAGCAGCAAAATCTGGCTAACTCAGTTGCCGTATCGCATCACCGAAGGCGGCC